CTTTCAAAGCGCTATTTAAAGCGCCCTTTTTTCTCCGCGCTCGCTGTTGTCGCCCTGCTGATGACGTCAGTGACGCGGTTTAATTGGGCGCGCTGTAGTCGAGCGCGGTTTTGTCGTGCCACGAATTTTAATAGCCTTCCTCATCCTTTGCCCTTCAGATGTATTGGGACAAACCACGAGAATTATTTGCTCATAGATGTGGAGGAACCAGACTGGAAAAGGAAGAACATAGCTGAAATTACCAATATTGCACTCACCTTGTGCAGCTGCCCAACGCCATCTCCCAGAAAGGCGATGGTATGGCCTGTTTCTACCATGGCAGCCACAGCTGTCAATCTTGGCACGGAAGTCAGGAGTGCCTCAGCCACCAATGGCTTCCGGCTGGCAATGGGGCTAGGCGTGTGTTCATCCCCACAGGGGTAAATCTCTGGGGACTCCTGGAAATGAATAACATGAAAAACAGAAAGGTTGGAAGACAGCCACCATGGGGTGGAGCAACTGATCCTCTTCCCCTACACAGTAGAGTCATTCCTGTCCTGTCACTCACTTTGGATAAAGAGCTGCAACGAGAGGTCACTCCGTATTCAATGGCAGCCTCCTCGTCGTTGTTGTCGCCTATTCCAGATGTGGTGTAGCACAGCTGCCGCGTCTTCTCCATTGCTGCATTAATTGCATTCAAGCTGTAGGAACACAGGGCAGTCCGCCCAGTTGGAACTGCAGTGGAGCCTTGCCCAACAGCTAAAACAACAAAAAGGATTTTGTCTTTTTCAGCAAAACCAGGTGCTAGATGCATAGCCTGAGCCAGGTTGTAAGATTGCCCTTGACTATGTTGGCATTCGAGAGGCAGCTCCACATAGGAATAGAGGTTGGTGTCATCTACGCAGGTCCGGGAGAGGTAGGTACGATATTCCATCTGTGCCTTTGCTCCACGCCGAAAGAACAAGAAGTAGACATAGCCACCAGAAGCAAAGGCACCGACGTAGCTGTTGTTGTAGTCTGAGAAATCACCCACAACCAGTTTCCCCATTCCTTCATTGGAGAAGGCCTGTGGTCCTTCCAACTGGCGGATGGTAAATGGCGGGATCCCTCCAGAGAGCTTTGCCGTCAGTCCACGACCCACAAAGAGCAGGTCCCGGTCATTGTGGTGCCCCACCAAACCAACTGTTGAAACTTTTGGCTCATTGGCTGCCACAAACTGGTTGTCTCCCGGATCCTCAGGATGGTACAACACTTTGGTGATATCCGTCAGAGCTCGCTTCTCACATACTCCCTGGAACAGCTGCCCACACACCACTAGCTCACCAGAACGCTCATTCGGTAAGAGGAGCTTGTTGGAGTTGTCCATCAGTTGGGCCTGCGGACACTCACGGACATCACGGAAAGGGAGACACTCGGGACTGTCTTGGTCTGGCCCTGTGCGGGCATATCCTAGAAGCCTCAGCTCAGAGTCCAGCTGATACAAGCCATTGACGGCCCCCACATACAGTCCGCCTGTGCTCCGGGCTTGAGCCAAATGATTGAATGTACCGTTGGGAACCACGAATAATGGATAGGAAGAGGGTTGAGCAGCTGGGTACAAGGGCAGCAGGAGCATCAGTGTAACCATTAGGGGCGGCAACAAGCGGCCTAGGACCATGGCCAAATCCTAGACAGGAGGAGAAAAGGAATGAGCAACAATTAACACAAGCATCCTAAACCAGCCTTCCCAATCCTTGGGTGCTTCAGTTGTATTCCATTGTCAGTTCCCACAATCTACAGCCAGTAGGTCCAAAGAGATCAGGACAATTCAAATCTGGCCCTGGAGAACCAGTGGCACTTTCCCAAAGCATTCATTCACAGATCCTACGATAGCTTGGTAACTGTGCAGGTCAGTGTTTCTCAACCTTGTCAACTTGAAGATGTCTGGACTTCAACTCCCAGAATTCCCCAGCCAGCATTCGCTGGCTGGGGAATTCTGGGAGTNTGCACGAAAGTTATCTGTAACCAATCAACATGCTTTCTACAAGATGTAATGAAAGGATGATTCTTTTTTTGTGTTTTTGTTCAATTAAAATAAAAAAAATTCAAAATAAAAAAGGAATAAAAAATGTGCATGCTTTTTAAAATTAAAGGAAGAGAAGACTTTGAAGGTGGCAAAAGAACAATAACTTAAGAAGTAAAATATTCTAGAGGAAAAAGCCTTCCACAGTGTGTGATAGACAACATACATCCACAGTTTATGATAGACAACATAACAACAGTGTATGCTAGACAACACTTTTTGCGATATTTCCTAGTTTCAAGCTGTGTCAAAATGCTGGAGACCCATAACATGTTATTTGACTCTTACTTATTTAGCACATATTTTAAAGTGTTGCAAGAAAATGAACTTTTGATACTAATAGTCATTGTAACATTATAGTTCTTTTACAGATACAGGCATGTTCTATAAAAAATGGCAGGGGGCCTATAATACAACGAGGAAAGGAGTAATAGTAGATCAATCATAAAAAGAGTGAGCAAACATGTTTTCCCATATCATAGAATGACTTCTTGCCTATGACTGCTTTTTTACTGGAAGTAATTTTCTGGAAAGCCGAGTGAAAGCAAGAAAAAAAGCATTTATACTTGTGGGAAATTGTTCATTCTTTTTTCTTTCTCTGCTTCCTGTTTCCAGCTGAAGTATACATAGGAATTAGAAAACCTGCAGAAGCCACTGCTTGTACTCAGGAAGCTGCTAACCTCTTTCCTATGTCTCACAATGTTCTCTACATGAGAGGTCAGGTGGCAGAAATTCGGGGAAATACGGATGAAGCCAAGCGCTGGTATGAAGAGGCCTTATCTATTAGCCCTACGCATGTCAAAAGTATGCAAAGATTGGTAAGTTCAATTTATGCAGCATAATAGGTAAAAAGATACATTTATTGCTTAAAACACTATAGGAATATCATTATCAATTCAACAATTAGAATGCATTCGACAACTGTAAAATATATGTGGTATAAATTCTCTTAACATGAATTCTTGAGCCATTGGAATTTATCTGATCTGCAGTAGTGCTAATAACCACATTTAGAAAAGGAGAAACTGAAAACATTTTTAAAATATGGTGATCTATCTTATTAAAGCTATGAAAATATAGAAAATACGTTATATATTTGAAATAAAATAATAATATTCTGTAGGCATGGGCCCAGTGTTGTAGCAATAGCAATAGCAGTAGACTTATATACCGCTTCATAGGGCTTTCAGCCCTCTCTAAGCGGTTTACAGAGAGTCAGCATATTGCCCCCAACAATCTGGGTCCTCATTTTACCCACCTCGGAAGGATGGAAGGCTGAGTCAACCCTGAGCCGGTGAGATTTGAACCGCTGAACTGCTGATCTAGCAGTAGCCTGCAGTGCTGCATTTAACCACTGCGCCACCTTGCAGCAATTGCAAATTGTTCATTAATATATTCACTTAGTATTCATTTAATGTAGTGAAGTGTAGTGTAGTGTAGTATTCTAGTCTAGTCTATTCATTGGGTATTTATTTTATCATATTGAAATCAATCAACTGAAAGCAGAATAAAATATTAGCATGCCAACCATGGGTTTAATTCCATGATCCTGTAAATTGCTGTGATATTCTCTGTGTTATCTATATTCTATATTTTCCATGTGTTTATAATTTCTTTTAAGAGTACATTATGAGTATGCTTGCCTTAGCTTGATGCCAGTTAATTTTCATAGTGCGAATAAACACTGTAAAAATTAAGAGGTCTCAATAGTTATTACTTTATTTGCTTGCTCAGCACGGCTGAGATGTGACATCTCATTGAATGATTTCTTTTCATTGCAAATAGCAAGTTTCTATCTAGCTATATCTGCACTATTATATGAACACACTTTTTCTTCGCTGGAAGCCTCAGCAAAAGGATTGTCTCTGTGTACAGCCTTGCAAAAGGATGCCTAAGCTGTCCTAAATTCAGGGCTGCTTTAGTATTGTAGAAATGATTTGCCGGTGCAAATGCTTTATAAAATGTCCTTTCCAAATGCTTTGCACAATCCAATGAAATATGCTATTAACTTCTTTTCTAGCTGGACCTTCAGTGAATATACAAAATGTCTTAGATAATGTTTTTTAAAAGTTTCAAGAAAAATCTATGATGAAATAAAACAATATTAAAATAATGTTTAATAATACTTCTTATTTTTCTTTATGTGCATTAGTTATAAAACTTAGTGGTATCCCATTATGTCAGCTTGCCTATGACAGTATCAATTTATAGAATAGCCTTTCTCAACCTTGGCAACTTTAAGCTGTGTGGACTTTGACTCCTAGAAAGCTGCCTTGGGAATTGTGGCAGTTGAAATCCACACGGCTTAAAGTTAAGGTTGAGAAATACTGTTCTAGAATGAGATTTGTTTAAAATAACAATTTGGCCATCATTCTGTCCATTTTAACAATCTTTCAGCCTATTTTGATCCTTTGTCTTAGCTTTAGATGATGTTGAAAGGCCTCTTTTAACAGACTAACACAGTTGGAAGGGACCTTGGAGATCTTCTAGTCCAACTCTCTGCATAAGCAGGAGATCCTTTGCCATTCCAGACAAGCACTGTCCAGTCTTTTCTTAAAAGCCTCCAGTGATGAACCACCCACAACTTCTGAAAGCAAGCCGTCCCACTAGTTAATCGTTCTCACTGTTAAGAAATTTATCCTTAGTTCTAGGTTGCTTTTCTCCTTGATTAGTTTCCATCCATTGTTTCTTGACTTGTCTTGGTGGTTTGGAAAATAGATTGACCCCTTCTTCTGTGTGGCAACACCTCACATATTGGAGCACTGCTATCAAGTCACTAGACTAGACAAAGTTATAAAGAGGGGTCCTTGGTGCTCTCCGAGCTTGCTGGTTTTCTTACAGACATTTCATTACCCAAACTAGGTAACTTCATCAGTGCTAGTAAGCAGTGCTGTTTCCTGTAAGTTTATATTCTGGTGTCTTGCCTGTCTGTGTGTATGTGGCCTCACAGATTCTTTGGTTGAGCTGTTCACTGTTGCCTCTTTGGCAGTTTCTTGATTGGGATATTGCTTACTTGATGTTGGTCTGAAATTAACCTTGGAGTTATTCTATGCTGATCTGGGTGCTGGTGAAAGGTCTTTTTGTTCACTGTTGGGCTGGTGGATTTCTCTTTAGCATACTCTATAGCAGGGTTGTCAAACTCAAGGCCCGGGGAGGGGGGGGGCGTATCCAGCCGGGAGGAGGGTACTTAGAATGGCCCACCCTAGAAACAGCAAAGGATTGGTGATGCCTCTGCCAGTGAAAATGGAGCTTGGAAGCCTGTTTTCTCTGACAGAGCGCTTGGGCCACCAAAGGCATCCCCAACATAAGTGAAGTTGAGCTGGCCATGCCCACCCTGACCCCCCGAGGTCAACTACAACTGTAATGTGGCCATCAATGAAATCGAGTTTGATACCCCTGGTCTGTAGATATTATTAAAGATATAGTTTTTATATATAAAGACTACATCTTTATATATAATATATAATATTTAAGATTGTGTGTGTTTGTGTGTATGTATGTATAAAATATATAAGATATAAAGAGAAAAGAACTGGACTTTACAAAGATAGTTGAAGAAAAAAACAGGACCTTCAGAATTTTATCACAGAAAAGCCTGTGTTCTTTTTGAACTTCCATCCCAAAATCTTGTGATAGTTTTCCCCCAATTTGTCAAACACTTTCAAGTTGTTTAACAGTGTTATAGTTAATGAAACACTGTTCTGTCAGCATAGAATTAGATGAACAGTGTGGGAACTAGAGTAAGGATTGTATCCTGGATATCATGTCTGTGTTATAATTCACATTCTCTACGGTGGGAGGCAAAAGTACGTCATCACAAAATTATCCTTTGCTAGTTAAGTTAATAATATTATGTTGATCTGTCCAATGTAATTTCGTTGTGTTAAAACTTCATTTCAGAATGCTTATTCAAATTAAACCTGTAGTGCATAGAGCTCAATTGAAGAATTATAATCCTTCACTTTATCTGACTTCCTTTTTCAAAAAGCTTGTTTCCTCAAAGGCTTCTGTAAATTATTCAAAGAGGTTTTTCCTCATACATTCCTGAGGGAATGAATAAGACAAAAAAATTACAAAGGAACAGAGAATACAGGGAAGTATTTTTATGTTACCTTTCTGGCTTTTCAAGATAATTGAACACATTGATGAATGCCAAAGGGTGCCTTGTAAAGAAGGTAGGCGTTGTACCCAAAGTAGTACACGTTCATTAAATAAAGGCTGCATATTACAATGTCTTTCTTTTCCATTTGAATTCACTTGAAATAAAGGGCCTCTACATGCACACTGCATTCCCCCAGAGGCTCTCTGCTTGTTCATAAATGGTAGAAGTTCTTGTTCAACAGGAAATAGACAAGGAAAAAAATTCCCTTAAAGCTGAAGGTGCTCCCAGTTTCTTTACTGTAGTGTCCCAGGATAATTTTTCAGGTACTAGCCACGTTTTCTATACCACCCATATTGTTAGAGTGTAAAAATAAAAGAAATAGAAGGCTGGCATGCATGAAAGCAAAATATCAGTGCCAAATATCATCTGACTTTCCAAAATGCTTCTAATTTCAAGAGGGAGCCCTGTGCTTAGTTTGTAATCTGTCTAGAAAAATGATTGGAGCAATGATTGGTAAGGAGTGGGTAGTGGGTTGTATTTTAATAGAATCATTATTTTAACATGCTTATATAATCCATGGTAGTTTTTCCCCTGAACGCTTAAGGTTCTGAGCAGCATTGTGTAAGAGTCTCTAGAAATGTGTGTAGAGCAATTGGCAAGATGATAGTGGGAATAAAACGAGAATCACCATTTAAGGCTTTCAGATAGATGCATGTTTGGATCCATGTTCTTTAGAAAAACACTGAGACATTGAATGTCAAATTGCATAAATATAAATAAATAAATAAATAAATATCTCTTGCTTTAGTATGTTAAAAGACATATGCTATAGGAATAGCGAGACTCCAGTCATGACAGGATCGCTATGGAGGGCATGTTGCCTCATAGACATTTTTTTAAATTTATTCATTCATTCAAAAGATTTGTATAGCACCATAATCTGGGTGGCTCACAAACAATAGTAAAAACAATACTATACATCTAGAGGCTTTCTGCAGTTCTCTTACTATGAAACTAGAATATTATTTCTCTCAAATTAGCTGATTTTGCATAATCAATCCATTATATAGATAGTTTTTTGACAATGAAGCAGACTGCTGGGCCCTAAGGACTGAACGGAGTCACTGAGGAAAATATATCTTTATGTACTACTATGTGCATCTTCCTGTACTTAAACATCTGGGATAGACAGAGTGATGAGTCTTGCTAACTTACAGAATGATCATCAGGACTGAAGAAGGGGCGTGAAGCCTTTCTTCAACTTCTATCTAACCTTTTCTGTGGAACTGCTTAATGCCTTTAGCAAGAAATGGACAAGAAGTTCTTATATTTCACTTGAGAGGCAGTTTGGTGTAGAAATTAAGGCTCCAAGCTAAAAAGTAGAAGGCCATATGTTTATCCTGCCTTAGGCATGGAGTCAGATGGGTAATCTTGAGCCAGTCCCTCACTTTCAGCCCTAGGAAGAAGGCGAACCATCACAAAAATGTTTGCCAAGAAAACTGCAAGGACTAGTCTAGGGAGTCGGCATGAATCAGCACTGATGCAAATGCACACAAAAAAACCCCAAATTTTTCACTTAATGTGTTTTATTCCAAAGTTGTTGCTTTCCCAATTTATTAAAATGGATGCTAATGTGTCTTTCATTCATTGTTTATATAATCTCTCCTGTAGGTAGTTTCTACTATAACATTAAGTAGAATATATAACTGTGGCCTG